CACAGACTCCACTTTTTTACATTTCATGGTTGCTTAACTTCACTGTTTAGATTTCTAAGGACAACATTTATGTGCATCTAATGAGAAACCATAAAAGTGTATGCCACAAGTTTACCCAGAAAAAAGTTATATTGCGTTTAATAGGATATATGCCCAGGTAATCATATAGAACTGTTGCTTCAAAGTGTGTGCATAATATAGATGTACCTGTATAATATTTGTTTGCTCTCCAACTCGGGCCAAGGCAACCATTCCCAACCTGGTGCCTTCCAGTTATTTGAGTCCAGTTCCCAGAAATCCTCACCATTGGCCATGCTGACTGGGACTGATGGGTGGTAAAGTCCAAAAACCTGGAAGGCACCAGAGTTGAAAAGACTGGGGTGGCATGTTCTGTTATGGCCCCATTTTGCCTCAGTTCTTGTCTGGGGTCATAAATTAGCTGGACACAAGTCAAACAGGTGAACTTCCTGTCAGTTCTGTGGATGTTGGCTTGGCTTGGCACAGCAAACTGAGCATCAGGATGCAATTCATAACCCATTAGAATCGTTTGCACAAATATTTTTATTTCTGGGGTTTGCACCCATAGTTGGATTGCCAGTGCATTATTCCCCTTCCCGGACGGATCCTGTGCCTCAGGCAGTGAGTAGCAAGCCATGATTCTGCAGGTGAATCTTTCCTCATTGCTGCATCTCCAAAGTTCAATTTCTAGTGCTCAGGCCATGACAGAGGCGTGGGCAGGTGGCAATCCTGGTCCATAGAAGAGGAGTAGGCAACTCGTTCCTTAGATGCTTCCACCATATCGGAGGCAGTATGCCTGCATACACTGGCTGCTGCAGAACATGGGCTGGAGGCCAGCAGGGTATTGTCACACGCAGGTTGTGCTTGTGGGTTTCCCTGGGCAGCCGGCTGGCCACTGTGTGAACAGAACACCAGATGGTATGACCCCTTGGTTTGATCTAGCATATCTGCTTTGGTTTCCTAGTCAAGACAATCAGAAAATGCATTCTACCTCCAGGATCAGAAGGAACATGTGCTTGGATGCCCGTCTCTGGGAGACATCAGGCAGTGTGAAAGATGGTCCTTGTCCTGTTTGTAGGCTACCCAGAGGCACCTGATTGGTCAGTATCTTGGGAAATGTGATGCTGACTAGAGTGGTCTTTGGGCTTAGCTAGCAAGGCTCTCCTCTTATGTTATGGCCACACTCAAGAACCAGACCTTGCACACTATAAATACTGTCTCTTGGAGTGATCACAGCTTCTGTGACCAATTCTTCAGGGCTTCATCTGACATGGCCCCACTCTGGACCCTGCTTTCAAGTCAGGGGATTTGTGTGGTAAGAACCAACCTTTGCTCATCTGGCCTTACTGGGAAAGAGTATCCAGGGCAGAAGGAATCCGGTTTAAAAAGTAAGCTCCTGGGCGACCTGAGGATGCCAGTCCGTCTCCGCTTCACGCGGCGCTATTGTGAACTCGGCCGTCAGGGGGTGCTCCGAGCACGCAGGCTGGAAAAGCCCGTGGAGCTGCCTGTAAACAGAGTTGAAGGAAGCGAGCTGCGCGACCTGCCTCACATCGCTCTACTCTCCTTCCCCTTCTCCTCCGCTAGGAAGGGAAAACAACAACTACACCTGAGCCGCGGCCGGAGGTGACATGTGCAAGAGAAAAACCCTGTCTGACGGGAGTGTGCAAGGGAAACCCTGCCTGGCAGATCAGACCCAGGGAAAGAATAGGCGCGTCATGCTTATTCGGACACCTCACCCCTGGGCAGGCACGCGTGTGCGCCAGAGCCGAACGCTGCGGTCCATGAAGCGCTGGTGCCGGAGCACTTCCACAAAGGTCAGCGCGTTCTGCCCGGGCCCAGGCTCCTTGTGCGCGTCGGCACCAAGGCACCAGCGCGAAAAGGGAAGGGGAGCTTTCCTACGTCATTTCTGGGAATCTTCTATTACACCCGACTCGGAGGGCAACTGGCTAACGCCTCCACCTGCTTTTGCTCTCCCGGGTCAAAAAGGTCTTCTTTCTCACCTCCACTCCGCTTTTCAAGAGGCCTTAAACGGAGCCAGATCGCAAATCCATTTTATCATCCCCATTCCTCTGAGCATAGAAAGAGTACATCTCCCTTGACGCTGAATAACAGCGACAAACACCACACACGTTGTGGGACATGCTTCCAGCGAAGCACGTATGTTTGCTACGACATGCAGAAATGATCTTTAAAACAAAAGCAACAAAGGTTTCCTCTGAAGTAAACCCGACGAAAATCCATGGAACTTGCTTCCAAGAAAACATGTAGGGCGAGGATGACTTTCCCTTACTGCTGGCTGCTGTCTGGGTCCAGCCAGATGTCCTTTCCTTCTAGCCTAAACAGGTTTAAACGAAAAACAGCAACAAAACAGAAGTACAGCGAAGAATGCGAATGTCTCAGACTTGGCCCAACCCAGCACTGGCCAGACGGACTGGGCTATAATTGAACTGCCTGGGAATGATGGGACTTGCTGCTTGGAGGGCACAGGCTGAGGAAAGCTTTTTGAAGCTCAGGCTATACCCATCTCCGCCCGCCCTGCTGCCGCCGCCGCCACCGCCGCCCTTCCGTGGCTTCTGAAAAAGCAGAGATAGCAAGCGAGGGGGCGGCGGGAGGGGGGGGGGGAGAAGGGGAATGTGGAAGAGATGCCATGGGAGAGATAAGATCTCCTGTCAGAACCGGCTGGTTCAGAACACCAGCCCTCTCTCCTGATTAGCGCTGCTGCAGTTTAAGGGAGGACAATAGAGAGCCGTTGGGATTTTCTTCTAATTGCTTTTGCAACTTTTAAACGTTTCCCATCCCCCAACACTCAATCAAGGAAAGGAGATCCCCTCGGGAGACACCAGCTGAAGCCCATCTGGGCATCCACACATTCCGGGGTCTGCTGGTGGGATCTGCCCCCGGGAAGGGGGGCCTCCCGCGGCGCTCCTGCGCTCGGATTTCCGCAGGCAAGCGCGCAAATGACGCCTATCGAAGCGCGCAGGTTGTAGACATAAAAGGCGCGAGCAGCCACAGGGCGGGCTTGCATGCAAGTTTCTCACGGTACAGTTTTGTTTTGGGTGTTTTGCAGAAGTGCCCCCTTTGCTACATAATTCTGCCCTTTCCCTGCTGCCCTCCCCTCCGCGTCCCCGCAGCGCGATTTGAGGTCCGCAGGAGACGGCTTGTCCTGAGCTGTGAAGCCGCACGGTCTGCGAAAGCCGGGAGGGAAGCAGACGCTACGGTTTTAGTGCCTACTTGGAAGGAAGCTGCGCAGGAATGAATGGGGCTTCCTTCCAAGCAAATGTGTTCTCAGTTCAGCATGAAGGGCGCTCCGCATAAATAAATGCCTTCTGAGTCGACATCCACAGCAGAGGTGGGCGTAGCGACAAGGTTCGCCTGCGGGTATTTAACCATCTAGTGCAAATAGCTTTGCACACCTCGCCTAGGAATTTGGAAAGCGCTTCCCTGGGCCGTGCTCAGGCTTTTCTCTTGAGCCACGAAGACGCTCCGCTTGGACAAGGCGGGCAGGAACGCCACGAAGGGGCCAAGGCCCCGTTCCGACGCCACGCTACTCTTGTCATTTCGCTCTTGGTTTATTTGGGGCACGATCCGCCCACAGGGAGGTATTTTTGTCCCGTTGCCCCACGTGAGAGAATTAAGCACACGCTTCCCTCACTTCCTCTAAACCCAGAGGGGCTTTGGGCGCGCGCAATTTTGCCTATTTATTTATACAGCCGGGATCTAAATATGGTCCACTGGAAAGTCTGTCCCGCAACGCTAGCACAGGACCGATTCGTGGGCGGGGTGCCCTGAATCGCAGGCTTCATTGGAGATCCGTGGGACGTACTCTAAAGAAGGGAGCTTGGAATCAGTAAGTCAGCCGGTCCCTTGGGTGTACCTCCCCTACCAGGCACCGATTGGGAACCGGGAGTAAACGCCATCCAAAAGCGCTCCCTAAAATGCTTGGCTTTAAATCCACATTGACCACTTAAAGTCACATGAGCTTATGCGGATTCTATCTGGAGTTATCTCCAGAGCAAATCTCTTTAAGATCGGAAGGGATCGTTTCATACCTGCGCTCCAAAATACACTTGGAAAGTAAGAACGAATCCGGTTCGACTCCCTTCCAAGGAGATAGGCCTGGATGGGGCAGCGAGCCAGCTTCAGCTCGTTGGCTTATCTGGGTTGTGCGGGGAGAAAGGGGCAGGCTTGTTCGACTTGTGCCCGCGCACCTCTCCGGAGTGACACCGTACAAGTCACTCCGGGGGCGGCAGAAAAGCTGCAGAAGCCTCTCGAAACGCAGGCAAAAGTCGTTCCGTGAAGCACCGGGCACAAGCGACATCATCTTTCTGCTGGTTCCAACCGCGGACCTGTTTTCTCGTGCTCCTCTTCCTCCGCTCGGGTCCCAGTTGCACAACCGCCGCGGGTCGCACGTAAAAGCAGCAAAGCCGGAGCGAGGGCTTCGCCTCCGCGAGCAACACACACGCCCGGAGCCACACGGCCCGGCCCGTCGGAAAGTCTTCGCTCACGCCTTTGAGTCCCGTCGACTTGGCCCGGGCCGCGCTGCTTTCCTACCTCCCTGACAGCGCAATGCTATACATGGCACCTCGGAAGTAAGACTCATTGAGTTCAACGAGCCTTACACCCAAGTGATTGGTTATACGATTGCAGCCGTACAGAAGACAGTTCCATTAGACACGACATGACTCTTACCCAGGTAGGCACGCAGAGGATCGGAAATATAACTTTCCAGGGATTGGGCTCGATAGGTTTGTGGGCGTGGACTGGTATCAGAAGGCCTTTAAAAAAATCCTGGTAATTCTTGGAAAGAGCAAGTAGGGACCTTGAGATGCAGGACACCTCGAAGTGTGTTTACTCTGAAGAAAGCCCCATCTCAATCCAAAAAAAGTATCTTTTGAGAACGTGCGAGAAACGTTGATCGCCACTAGACACGCGGCGGCGGCACAGAGATTGGCCTGGGACCAAGGAAATGATCGGGCCGGGCTGGAGGTTTCGCGAGCTGCTTGCCCCCCCCCCGTCCTGCCCCCCCTCCCCCACCGGCTGACAACTGGTCCGGACATTCGAGACGAACGGGGAAGCACACGTGGGGAAAGATCTTCCAAAGTCGTTTGCATGGCAAGCTACGGCGAGGGGAACGGCCTACCTTTTGCACTGTTCAGAGAAACGCGCTTTGGATTGCCCGGCTCCAACAGGAGCCCCCTTCCACGGGGCGGGCAGCCCCCTCGGCGGGGCAGGCGTGGAGCTGGGAGCGGGGAGTTCAGGGGCGGGGGGCGCGCAAGGCGACCTACGGCGGAAGGCGACGCTTGCCGTTTGCACGGCCTAAGAGCCGCCGAGGCGAGGCGGCCAGGGCTCTGCGCGCCTTTGCCGTTTTAATAGGCTGCATCGGTGATTAACCAAGCCACGATTTTCTCAAACCGTGGCAGGGGTGTGTGAGTGAACATGATCCGTTGTCACATCTGCATTAGACCAGCTGTCACTTCAAGAGCAATCTCTCACTGCAGAAGGTGAAGAAAGTAGCGCGGGGGTGAACAGAGGCGGGGCTTATAATCAGGAGAGCAAAAGGGAGCTTTTGGTACATCTCACGACTGAAGCATTTGTCCCCATCTTAAAGCCCAAGCGCCTTAAGCACGCAGGGAACGGGTGCACACGTCTGTCCAGCTCGGAGCTCCTCAAGTCCCCTCTGGATGCCCATTGACTTCGATGGGTGAGGTTCGAGGGCTCCCGTTCGTGTCAGTGGCTGCGTTTTGGCCACCTCCTGCCCCTGAATGAGCGGCTCCTTTTCAATTAACCCTCCCAGAGCCCCCTTCCCCACAACACTCGCGGACCTTGGCGTCGCTCCACACTCACTTGAAAAGACTGTAATGAGATTTCTTCAAAACAAAACAAAACAATTCGAGAAGGGGAAAATTAGTGCTGGCGTCGATTAAAGCCAAATCATTATGTTCTCTCCTTGTATCTCTGCTGCTGGAATTATCTCATCAGTACATTCAGCCACTTTTTTCTGCTCAAATCCTCATGCCTTAAGAGCTTCATTTTGCAGAGGGTATCTAACTACCAATATTTCTCTTTGAAATATTTCATCCTGAATAAATTATTGTTATTATTTTATTTTAGTATTATTATTATTATTATTATTTTCTGTTCACAGCGAAAGGGTTTTCACAACTCGTCAGTCACGTTGTCGATGGCGGGGCCTGACACCCTCACGACAGCTCTGCTCCGTTTCTGGTGGAAAAATGCCCGGAAAGTTCTCCCGTTCCTACGGCAAGCAGAGTTCTGTGCAACCCGCAGGTCTGCCTCCTCATACATCTCCAGCTGTCCTTGCCTCGGTAGCAAATGCCCAGACTGCCCGCTGCGTGCACGTTGCATCCTAAGCTGCAGACGTCAGTCCTGCTTATCGGAACAGGATCAAATGTTTCGGTCTAAAATTCAGATGCGGAAAAAAATGAAGTCTCTCCCCCCACCCGCACGCCGCACCTCCAGCACGGAGGCTTAACGGTTCACGACCAATAAACGGTTACCTGCGCAAGCCAGCCAAGGGCGACTGTATCTCACTTTTAAAGCTTTCCTGTGTTTATAAACACGGCAAAAGCAACAATCGCCGTCTCTCCGAGTTGTCTCAGGAAAAGCCGATTCATAAAAGGGAGCTTTGCAAAACTCGTCAAAGGCTTGTCAAATGGCAGAGAAAAGAATCCCTTCAGGAAAGTTTGGCCAGGCAGCTGGATGGAGCGGGGGAGGCCCGGCCGGCGGGGGCCGACCTGGGGGAGCGCCGGGCCCCCTCCCCTTCCCTCCTTAATCCTGCCGGGTGTGAAGAATCCTGCGCGGGAGGGGCGGGTCGCCTGTTGTGCCTTGGCCGCAAAGGGCGCAGGGGAGTGACCCCAGGGGGACTCTCGACGGGTGCGGGGGAAAGGCGCTTCCGCACGCAGCGGCCAGTAGGTGAGAGCGAGCCCGAGCGGAGCTGCTAGGACAGAGGCCTTGCAAGCGAAAATCCGTGTCTCGTGTGCGCGTCTGGACACACCGCAGGCGGCACGGGCAGTTGGGTCAAGGTATCCACCGATCTCAGAAAGAAAGGAAAAACGAGAGTGGCATACATGTGAATTTTAGGTAGGTGATATCTGGGCATTTGGGTGTATAATTCAGCACTCCATACATTCTTAAGATGCCTGAGCTCTAATTTGTCCAAAGACCCACTGACTTAAATGAGGATATTTTAAAAAGGGGGGCGGTGGGGGCTTCAGTTTTCCCCAATGAAATCAATGGGACTTTGAAGTGTGGGAGCAACACCCAGTACAATTTTCTTGGGACTACCGGTGAATACCCACAAACGCTGTAGCTTGTTGTAGGTACTGACGTGCATAATTAAGAGGCTTTGTTCCTTTGCTTCACTTTAACCTTTCTTCGTGCCATTTGTCTGCTTCGCGGAGAGAGCCAAAGCAGGAAGCCCACGTAGGTCGAATGGGGGGCGGTGGGGGCTGGGCTTAAAACAGGAAGACAATAAATAAGACTAAATAAAAAGCTCAAAGCAGTGGGCGAGATGCCTTCTTTCATATAACCTTTCCTTAGGTCCGATGCAAAAAAAAGAAAAGAAAAGAAACATCTTAGAACAGCGAGAGTTTTGGCGCTCTCCACTCGATGAAGGGGGGAGGCGGGGGAGAAGCTACTGGTAGAAGGCATTCCCCCCCCCCCCCGCTTCTTGGAAACCACACTATCTCCTTCGTTTGCCACCTAAGTCGATGAAACGTTCTGGAGAACTCGAAAGCTTTCACATTATTCTAGGACATTTTGGATCTTGGACACATTCTGAGACATGAATCGCCGCCACCACTTAAAGGCAAGCACGGCCGCGTATGCTTTGGGCATCACCATGTCTTATCACATCCGTTTCCCCATCCTTGTCTCATCCTTACAATCCAGCGTGACCGCGAAGAGTTCTGTGCACCCCGAAAGCTCGCGCTCTCCTCCGTGCTTTTAAGGTGCCCTTAACGAACGCATCGTGGTTTCGTTGCCTAGGGACGCAAACCCAGAGCCTTGCCCGAGTGTGTGTGTTTTCATGCCGGAGCGAGCAGATAGTAATTTGATCCACACGCTCCCGTGCGAGGCAAGGAGTGAGCGCGGCCGTGTGGGAAGCGCTATATACGCGCGGGCCGGGCCGGGCCGGGCGGGGCGCGCGCGTGTGTGGCCAGTCCCAGAACTGCGGCTCTCGGCGGCGCGGCCGCCTCCGCGAGCCTCCCGCCCGCCGCGCGCGCGGCCCCGCCCACCCGCCACTCAGCGCGCGGCGCTGCCTCCCCATTGGCCGCGGGGCGGGGCTTCGCTGCTGGCCAGAAAAAGAAAGAAAAGAATCCTGTGGGTCCGTGAAAAAGTCCTCGTCTTGGTGACGGATGCTCAAAAGTTTAGAAGTTTCTCCCAGTGGCTCCCCGTGCAGCTCGCGGCTGAAAAAGAGCGAGCGAGAGAGCGAGCGAGCGAGCGAGCGAGGGACGGACTGGAAAGAGAAAACCGAGGCCGAGGCGCTGGCGAAGGTGGATCGAGCTCTCTGCCTACTTTAGACCCAAGGGAAAGAAAAATATCCGGCCTCCCCCGCCCCCGATCCCCCTTCGCTCCAGTTTTCTTCGCCGGAGCAGGGCTTTGTGCCTTGGGGGGGGTGCCTTTTTTTTCTTTTTGGCAGCCCAACCTGTTGCCGCGCTCCGTGGAAAGGCGAGAAGAAAAAAGGCACTTGGGAACTGCGAAAGCGGATTTTGGCCGTGCGCGCGCGTGGTGCGCCCCCCCTCCCGCTCGTTTCGCCTTCTTGAATCCTCGATGGCAGGCAGTAACTTTTCCTCTCTTCTGCGATCGCTTCCGTGGAGTGTCGGAGCCTCGGTTTAGGAAGAAAAACGACGACGAGGAGGGAAGCGCTTTTCTCCCGCTGTCGCCCCCCTCCCCACTCCCCTGGCTTGTTTGTGTTTGTTCATTCATATATCCACTTTTTGTGCACGCTCGAGCGGGGGAGGGGAGCGAGGAAAACTTAACCGGCCCCCAAGGGGTGCTGTTTGTTTGTTTCCCCTTTTTGGGAAAGAAAGGAAGATCCTGGTCGCCTTTTCTGGTTTATATTTTTTTGGCTCTGGAGCTGCGGAGGGGTGGAGGGGGGAAAGCAGAGGAGGAGGAGGAGGAGGCGGCGGCGGCGGCGGCGGAGGCGGAGGAGGAGGAAGAGAAGGCCGGTCTGCTGCTGCTGCTGCTGCTGCTGCTCCTTTGGCTGAGGCGGCTTGGTCCGGCTGGGCGGCTGGAAGGGAGGCCATGCAGGCTCGCTACTCCGTGTCCAGCCCCAACTCGCTGGGAGTGGTGCCGTACCTCGGCGGCGAGCAGAGCTACTACCGGGCGGCGGCGGCGGCGGCGGCGGCCGGCGGGGGCTACGCGGCCATGCCCGCGCCCATCGGCATGTACTCGCCGCACCCGGCGGCGGCGGCCCACGAGCAGTACTCGGGCGGCGGCGGCGGCGGCGGCATGGGCAGGCCTTACGGGCCGTACCCGCCGCAGCCGCAGCCCAAGGACCTGGTGAAGCCGCCGTACAGCTACATCGCGCTCATCACCATGGCCATCCAGAACGCGCCGGACAAGAAGATCACGCTCAACGGCATCTACCAGTTCATCATGGAGCGCTTCCCCTTCTACCGGGACAACAAGCAGGGCTGGCAGAACTCCATCCGCCACAACCTCTCGCTCAACGAGTGCTTCGTCAAGGTGCCCCGCGACGACAAGAAGCCCGGCAAGGGCAGCTACTGGACGCTGGACCCGGACTCCTACAACATGTTCGAGAACGGCTCCTTCCTGCGGCGCCGGCGGCGCTTCAAGAAGAAAGACGCCGTCAAGGACAAGGAGGAGAAGGAGCGCCTCCACCTCAAGGAGCAGCCGCCGCGCCCGCCGCAGCCGCCGCCGCCGCCGCCGCCGGACGGGGGCCCGCCACCCGTGCGGCTGCAGGACATCAAGACGGAGAACGGCTCCGCGTCGCCCCCGCAAGCGCCGTCCCCGCTGGGGGCGGCGCCCGTGCCCAAGATCGAAAGCCCCGAGAGCTCCGGCGCAAGCAGCCTCTCCAGCGGCGCGGGTAGCCCTCACGGCAGCGGCGGCGGAGGCGGCCGGGCGCTCGGCTTGGATCCTCCGGCAGCGGACGCCCAACAGCACCCGCACCACCACCCGCACCACCACCCGCACCATCATCCCCACCACCACCACCACCACCCTCACCTCCATCATCCCCCGCCGCACCACCACTCCGCAGGACCCCCCGGGGGCGGCGGCGGCTTCAGCGTGGACAACATCATCATGACCTCGCTGCGCGCGTCGCCCCAGGGCGCCGCCGGAGAGCTCCTGGCCCTGCCGCCGCCCTCCGCCTCGTCGTCGTCGGCCTCGTCCACCACCTCCACGCCGCGGACAGCGCCGCCTCCGCCGCCGCCTTCGCTGGCCCTGAGCAGCTGCTACTCGCCGGCCGCGTCGCAGAGCTCGCTCTACAGCGCCCCCTGCAGCCAGGGCGCCAGCACGACGGGCAGCGGCGGCGGCGCGGGCGGCGGCGGCAGCTACCACTGCAACCTGCAAGCCATGAGCCTCTACGCCGCCGCCGCCGCCGCCTCCGCGGGGGCAGGCGGCGGCGGCGGCGGGGGGGCAGAGCGCGGCGGCGGCGGCGGGGCCCACCTGGGCGGCAGCCCCGCGGAGCAGGACGCGCTGCCCGAGTACAGCCTG